TGGAGGTTCTACTGTATTCCATAGTCTTTATTTTAAACATTCCTATTATGTCTTACTTGGGCTTTAACATATTCACAGGCAAAGGAAGTCTACTGTTAATGTCAATTAAAATTGTTTCACAAGAATAATTTTTAAAAGCAAACATATATGTGTAAATTTTCTCTATTCCCCCAGCTATGTACAGATAAAATCCTGAAACATGACATAATGAACATTAAGACTCTAAAAGGGAGAAGAATGTAGATGGCCTAGGAATCTCAGGGGTTAAGAAACCGTAAGGTAATATTTCTTGGGTTTTATTTTTGCCATATATAAACTGGAGTAGAGGAAGCTGGTAACCCAGAAAATCCAAAGAAGAAGACAGACAAAGCCCCAAGAAAAGGCTGCTCTCTCCAGCCAAAGACAATTAATTTCCAGCCAGTCACAAGAGCATACATCTTGGCCACATGCCCATCTCCGCGGGCTGTGTGGGGAGCCATGGCTGCTACCCACAGGTGGCTGCAATAAGGAGCCCCTCTCCCCAACCCACCCAACATGCACTGGGTGGTATCAGAGAAGACAGCGCTGGAAGCCGGTCCCTCCCTGGGGAAAACAAGCCCCAACCAATTGCAGTGGTCAGTGGAGGACAAGAGGGAGCACAACCAGAGACGTCAGCAGAGGCCCATTGGGGAGACTGAAATCCCACCTTCACCCAGGAAGGAATCACCCCACCCCACCTACCCCAGAGAGTAAAAGGAGGCAGGTGGGTAATATGGACCTTCATCTCTACCGGGAATAGGCCTCCCTCCCTCACTGCTGGAACAATATTTAAATAAGATTGTCCAGGACATAACCAAGAGTCACATCTCATACCACGACCAGGAAAATCTCAACTTAAATGAGGACAGACAATCATCAGGCACACGCCCATACTAGGATCACACAGATGTCAGACGGATCTGACAGAGACATCAAATTGTCATTAAAAAAGCTCAAACAAGTGACTACAAATATCCTTAAATGAAAAAAGTAGACAGACATAGCAAAACCAGAAAAAACAGAAAATATGAAGGATTTCTTTCCCATCTTTCTATCTTTGTAACGTGTAGAAAAGAATAAAGTCAGTTTCCTGTTACAATTTCAAAACAAAACAGGCAAGAAATTCAATATCTCTCCTGAGGCAAATACTAGGGGGTTTGAAACATTTTTTTTTAAAGGTGGTAGAGTAAGCTGAAACCGAAACCTATCAAAGCAAGAAACAGCGTTAGCTTTTCTAATCTGAAACACTTGTTTTCAGAAGAAGACAATAAATACACAAGATATGCACACACACTTCTCAGCATAAACGTCATCTGGGAATGGCAGAAACATAAATACTCAAGGCCCCAGACCTACTGCTCAGAAACACCAGAAATAAGCTTCAACAACTGGTGTTACAATACACTCTTTAATAATTTCTTTTTGTTTTTTGAGACAGGTCTGTTGCCCTGGGCAGAATGCCGTGGCATCATAGCTCACAACTACCCCAAACTTCTGAGCTCAAGAGATCTTCCTGCCTCAGCCTCCCCAGTAGCTGGGACTATGGACACCTGCCACAACACCAAGCTAATTTTTCTATTTTTAGTAGAGATGGGGCCTCATTCTTGTTCAGCCTGTTCTCAAACTCCTGAGCTCAAGGAATCTGTCGTCTTGGCCTCCCAGAGTGCTGGAATTACAGGCGTGAGCCACTGTGCCCAGCCTCTTTAGGTAATTCTGACGCATGCTAAAGAAATAACTGCTATCTTAAAACACTCTAATAAGGCCCAAGTAAAAGTGAGACCCCCCCCCATCTCTATAAAAAACAGAAAGATCAGCCAGGGATGGTGGCACAAGCCTATCCATGGTCCCCCCTACTCGGAAGTTGAGGCAGGAGGACCACTTGAGCCCAGGAGTCTGAGGTTGTAGCAAACTATGATGACACCACTACACTCTGGCCCAGGTGACAAAGTGAGGTCCTATCTCACACCCACACATAATAACAACAAAAACACTCTAATAAGCAGTGGCAAAAGCAATGACATAACAACAGCCACTTCTATAGCACTTTTAATGCCAGCAGTATTCTTTTTTTTT